CCCTACACGGCACTATCTTGTCTGAAGCGATACTCCAAAGGTGGTACTACACTATTGAGTTAGTGGTCCGTCTATTAGTTTTTAGATACCAATATAACGACTCTTATTCACTAATCAAGTTTAACTGTCAAACAAACAGATAATATTAAATAGATAGCTTAGAAAACTAAGGTACTTAAACAAACAAATAGAAAAGACAGCTTTTAAAAATGAAAACTTTATTTAAATATACTTACAATATGATACAAAACTCTAAGAATACATACTCCTTTGATACACACTTTTAGTTTGAAAGTTCGTAAAGAAGGTTTTTCTTTTCTTTTCTATCATCTCTTCTTATTTTCATTATTCTTTCTCTCGTGCCTTCCTATGGAAAGACTTGCTCTATTTATAGACTCAAGGGGAGGACCCCTGCTTCGGACTTAAAGCATGGTTTATATAGATAAGACGCGTGGTCCTTTTGTTCAGATTCCCACTCAACTTGCCTGACACATATTCTTCACTTAGCAGGATACAAAACATGGTCGGTTGCCTTTGGATGAATAGTCACATCCAGCTTTTGTTAAGGTTGCAAATTTATGGTATAGACTTTCGACTTTTGGATAAATTACAAATTCTCAACTCTTTACAGATAAGGGGAATATGTTTAAGGCCCCATCCTCTGTTGGCCATATTGGAATCTTTCAGTCACATTCTGGTTTGTTGTCGTAAGTGTTGACGTTTATTAATACCTATCGTCTACTAGATCTTTCGGGCTTATAGACTGACTATCTTCCATCTGGACATCTTCTTCCTCTTTTTCTCGGTAATATTCTAATGTTGTGTTGTATTGAGGACTGGTTTCAATTGATGGAACATGATTTACTTTAATACTTCTGGGCCAGACTAAGACCATGTAAAGACTAGTGGCTGAGATCATGAGAGTTTCATTCGAATTAACTAACTATGAGTAAAGAACTTTGGGCAGCCTCAAAGTAAAGAACTAACTATGAGTCAGATTTGAATTTTGATAACGTATAAATTCTTTAATATGATTTTATAGAATCTAAAAAAAATATTTCTAATCTTAAACCACCTAGATAGGTCGAGATCAAATCCTCAATATTAATGAGAGTACCTTTTCAATGGAGACTTTTGAGTACACAATGTTGATCCTGTCTGTTATGGAATGTGAGACCGCAATTGAGTTTGATTTTATATGAATCGTTTTAAAAAAATAAATCCTCTCATTAGGATGAAGGCATGGATTGAAATGATCCCAAAAATAAATACTTACTAATTTATCGAGTCTTTTGTTGAGACGATAGTCCTCTATTACCAATTCGATCTTACTAATTGTTTTTAGGTAGTCGAATCTCCTTTTTCATAAGGAGGTTTCGCTGACCTTTTTGGTGCCCTGCGAAAAAACAATTACATGAGTAAAACCGTATTAAGGCATAGGAAGTTTTGAGCTTTTAAAGTCTTATTAAGCCAATAATTACTCCAACTAAAGGTTGTCCACCAGACACACACAACTTTATAATAGGCACTTAGTTAAAAGACCCTGCGAATGGTTGTGATCTGTGGGGCTCTACTTTTGGGGAATCTAGTTAAAAGACCCTGCGAATGGTTGTGATCTGTGGGGCTCTACTTTTGGGGAATCTAGTTAAAAGACCCTGCGAATGGTTGTGATCTGTGGGGCTCTACTTTTGGGGAATCCTGAATCTCACAGATTTCTTTAAAACCTCAAAAAGTCAAGAATCTCTCTAGCTTTCATCATAGTAGCGTTATAGATCCTAGGATAAAAACTTTTTTCTTCTTTGAAATCTCTATCGTCAGTTTCATTAAATCCATGTATACCGCGTATCATTCTATCAAACATAGGAAAGCTTCAGATAATATCCTCATATGATAAACCACATTTTACCTAAAAAATCTGGATTCTACAAATGAGAAATTAGAAACAGAACACATCATAGAAGTTGTTGCCCTTAATGGAGTTCCAAAAGTTACACCAGGCATTTCAAGTCAATTACCAACTCACTCTGCTTAATTAAAAAGATTATATTTACGAAAAATGTGGTTCTATTCACACACCCATTTTTACTCTCTACACTCCTTAATTTTAAAATAATTAAATTTACTTCTTACACACACTTATTGTTAAAAAATTACTCTTAACTACTTTCATAAGATTATTAATATTTTACAACTCATTTTCTTTTCACACCCACAATTTCTTTTTATTCCTTACTTTAATATTATCATTTGCCTTTATCTCTCGTTCTTTTTTCAGTTGAAACTTTAGGCATGAAGCTTTTTCATGTATAAAGAAAATTTACTATTACATTTTTTAGAAACATAAAGCATATTTACTATAGAAAATTTACTATTACATTCCTAAATAGCAACGTCAAAAAAATATAAATTTACTATTAAGAATTTTCTAAAGTAGATGTCCTCTAAGAAAATGATTCATTCCTAAAGCTTCAACCAAAAAAATAGCAAGATAATGATACTAAAATAAAGAATTAAAATGAAATAATGGGTGTGAAAAGAAAAATGGAGGTTCAAGAATTAAAAATTTTATGGAAATAGTTAAGGACAAGTTTGGAACAATAGCAGTGTGTAAACATTAAATTTAATAATATGAGATTTGTATTTAAAAAGAGGTGTGTAAAGTAAAAAAGAGTGTGTGAAACTGTGAATAGGACTACCCTTAAAAAAATTAGTCGATTTTTTACATTAAAGAGAAAATAGTTTACCAAATCCCCGAAATATCAAGTGAAAATAAATGTCTCGAAAAGTTCATGGCCAACAAAAAAGGGAAAGAAAGAAAGAAAGAAAGAAAGAAAAACCCAAAGCCAACGTTAACAATCCAAGATGTACTCATATACCCAATCAAATATCAAGTGAGGTCGGCAAAGCAAACAAGGTAACAACTTTAATCGGTACGGCAAATTTATTTACTGGAATGAGATGGCATAGGTTTCAGGTGATAGATCAAAACCCATATAAAATATGGTCTTCTGAAACTAAAAGACGTCCTGAGACAAAACTTGATGCAACTTTTTGACAGGAAATTTTACTTTACACTACACCTGTGTGCACTCTTATAACATCCGCAGGCGAAAAAAGACAATTATCCAAGTTTCCCCACTATCAGAATCCAAACAGAGATTCAACCCACACGAAAAGCTACCAAATTAAACCAGAACTTAACCGCCCGTTTTCTGCCCTGAAATTCAGCAGAGAAACATTGAAAAAGTTGCAAACTGAATAGCTGAAGAAAACCTTGGATGGCACTCAGACGAATAGAAGAAGACAATCTCAACAAACAAAAAACAAATCATCTGGTTTCAAATGTGTGTTAAAAATATAATAATTTTTATTCACTATATTGAAATTATGAATCGAGTGAAGCAGGGTACTTAAAAGTGCAGTTTCCAACAAAAAAAAAAAAAAATCAACCAAATATTGATCTACTGCATCATCTGACATAAGAAGAGATTCCAACAATTATCAGAAACCAAAAAAAAAGTATCAGAAGTCAACTGCGCTTGGACAAGATCTCTATGAACTTGCAAGCATACACCCTTTTAATTTACAGGTCACCATTCTCACGGACTAAAAATGAAAGGTTAATGGTTCACTATAGTATGTTTATCAATCTCAATTTACTGAACATTCCCTTGTTCATGATTTCCGGCATTTGTGCCACAGTTACAAGCCTGAATGGTTTAATAGACGATATCACATTCTTGGACTTTAAAACACTGAAACAGTAAAACTATAAACTAGGACCATTCTCTATTTGTTTGCTCAGTAAATCCATATTTCACCTCAAAAATCTAAAATCTACGGCACGCGTTTGAAATTTGTTCTAAAATAATTTTATTTTTTTATGAAAATAAAAATAAAAACGTTTTTAATCTCATACATAAATTATTTTTAAAAATGTGTTTAATAATTTTATCAAAAAATTATTTTTAATATAAAAAACTCATTAATGTGTGTCTCTGTCTCTCTCTTTTTACTCGAGAAAAGAGAAAATTAAAACAAAAAATTAAAAAACAACTAAAAGCCGTTTTTTATTTCTCTCTAATTTTATATTACATTAAAATTTTTTTTTTATTTTTTATTTTTATTATACTAAATACCGTTTTAAAAACGTTTTCATTTTTTATTTTTTAAAAAACGTAAAAAATAAAAACAGAATCAAACTTACACATCAAAAATTAAAAACAGTTAGGAGACGTTTAGTTCATGAATTAAAATCATGTAATTAGAATTATTTTTAATTTACGTATATTTTTTATAAAAAAAAATACTTTAACAAACTATTAACATGATTCAAATTCTAATTTAAATCCTCCAATTAAATATCTCCTTAAACACCACCAGAGTGTGGTCCAATTAAGGACAGCAAAAGTCAATCGCCGAATCACTCTGTCAATTAATTGATAAGATTTTCGAAATATTTAGGAAAATATTAAATTTTTTTTTTAACCTTGTGGAGAAAATAGTTTACCAAAACCCCAAAAGAATAATGAATTCACGACATTTTCAACGAAGCAAAGCAAACGTCAGAAATTCAGATCAAATATACCTGGCAGAGTTTGTTTCTTAATGCCAGCAACAATCTATGCTCTGATGACGGCCATGGATGACACCCTGAGAGGAGCCATACAAAAACGACGGAGAACTGAAATCAGCAATAGCGTCGTCCGAGTTAGGTGACCAAAAAGTAAACACAAAAGAATATCAACCGTCTGATTAGTTAAAATCAACGGCAGAAAAATACAAGTCGATGTCGGTAGAAAGAATTGATGTATACTATAGGTATGTAGACACAGACATATAGGCGTATAGAGTAATCGAAAAGCGAGAATAATGTCAAAGAAGAAAAGGACTCGAAACAGAAAAAATACCGGATTTAGTAGAGCAGTTGGAGAGCAGGTGAAGAGATCTCGTCTGCATCGGTGGAACTGGTGAGAGAGAGAAGAGAGCCAAATCAGTGGAGCAGTTGAAGAAGAACAAAACGAAAAACCTTGTCGAATCGATCTCAGAGATTTTGCATAAGAATACAAAATCGCTCACCACAAAAAAGCACCAAATTAACAAATCGATCGGAAAATCCACAATGAACTCTCCGAATTCGTCTTCCATCTCGTCGACGCCACGGCAGCACCAGTCTAATTCGAAGCCATGGAGGCCGTTGACGACGAGCTGCTGCTCCGTCGAGGACCAGACGATCCTCGGACGGCTGAGCCGGCCCTGCCGGCCGTCCAGGTCGTCGGAGCTGTCGAAGAACATAGCGCCGATGCCGTCGTTCCGGAGGCTGTCGTTCTCGGACCTGAGCCGGTCATCGTCGGTGCGGATCAACGAGGACCTGGCGCAGAACTTCGGGGCCGAGTTGTACGACTTTCAGCTCAGTGAGTTGCGCGCCATAACGCAGAACTTCTCGAGCAATTTCCTGTTGGGAGAAGGAGGATTTGGGACGGTGCATAAGGGGTATATGGATGAGAATCTGAGGCAGGGCTTGAAGGCGCAGGCTGTGGCGGTTAAGCTTCTTGATATTGAAGGTTTGCAAGGACATCGCGAATGGCTTGTAAGTTGGTCGAAAAGATTTCTGTCGTCTGTCGGTCTTTCAATTTTATTTCGATTTTGTTCTTCTTGTTTTTTTTTTTGTTTTTTCCCCTTCAGACAAACTGCCTTTTCCAAACTAGGACTAACTCTATGGGCGGTATAGTTGATTTAATTTGAATTAATTTTTTGAACAGTTTAACATTAACATATGAATAGGAGTAATTTTGTGTTGTGTGTTAATGAGAAAGAATAGTTTCTACCGTAAAAACTTTTAAAAGCATTATAAAAAGATAAGGGTTAATCATTTTTATATCAAATAAGGAAAAAAAAGTATTTCAAATATAAGTTTTGAAAAAGAAAACCATTGTACAAAACAATAGGTTTATTTATGCTTTTACATTTAACTTATTTTGATCCCAAAATACTTGTGAAATAAATGTAAGGGTATTGTCTAAAAAGTAAGCTCATTTTTTATAGGACAACACTTATAAAATAGATATGACGGTACTGTCCAAAAAATTCTCTCATTTGCCTACACATTATTCATCGCTTGATTTAGAATTGTCAAAAATATATGAATGTTGTTCTTTCATCGTATTTTTTTGTAATTTCTTATTTTATTTATTCTCTCGCTAATTGTCATAATCAAGTACTGTGTATTATTATTATTATTATTATTATTATTATTATTATTAATATTTTGTTGAAGTACTGTTTATTGTTTGATTCAGGCGGAAGTGATATTTTTGGGGCAACTCAGGCATCCAAATTTAGTAAAATTAATTGGATATTGTTGTGAGGATGAAGAAAGGTTGCTCGTCTATGAATTTATGCCCCGCGGAAGCTTAGAGAATCACTTGTTCAAAAGTCAGTACTTTACTATCCTAAATCCTTAGGACTACTTATGCTTATTAATTCAATGAGGAAGGTCTTTTAACTAGTGTCCCCTAAACATTTTGTGTTTGGATGAATTGTTTTTGAAGTTTTAATTTTGATAATTAACTGCTTAAATTTATCAAATTAGACCACGTTGAATGGATCGTCAAGTTTAGAAGGTAAATCGATGAAATTCAAAGTTTATAAGGTAAGATGTAAAATTACTTAGACTTTAGAGGGACTTTAGTTACAACGTTCTTCATTATATGCATAAGAGACCGTTCAAAAAATGTTTCTGGTGTTCCATACAATTCAATGAAATTAGTTGTGTTTTTCAGTTATTGATTTTTTTTTTCCTTAAATTGTCTAAAGAGCACTAGGTTAAAATTTCGTTACTCACATAAGATGAGTTCCGCTACATGAATAAGTGAAATCTAACTTAATAAGACCTATCATTTGAGAGTACAGAATTTTATTTTCATCGAGATAAATATCATTTTTATTGTCTAAGTTGAGTAAAAAGGTCGAGTAAGGAAACTTGGGGAATGAATTGAGCAACATTTATACGATTTCAGGATTGTCAGTATCATTGCCATGGGGGACAAGATTAAGAATTGCAATTGGAGCAGCCAAAGGTCTTGCTTTCTTGCATGGAGCAGAGAATCCAGTCATATACCGAGACTTCAAAACTTCAAATGTCTTACTAGACTCAGTAATATTTATTTTCTCTCTTTTTTTTTTTTCGTTCTTATGAGGTCTACTTTTTTGCAGAGAATCCACTTATTTTCTCTCTAAATTTGACCGTGATATTGCAATTATCTCCGTATGAACAGGATTTTACAGCCAAATTGTCTGATTTTGGACTTGCAAAGATGGGACCTGAAGGATCAGACACGCATGTCACTACAAGAGTCATGGGTACCTATGGATATGCAGCACCTGAATACGTCTCAACAGGTAGCTGCTTTTATAAACTTTTTTTTTTTTTTGCAAAAAAAAAAAAAAAACAAAGAAGAAAAATACTTCTACGTGTTTAAGAATATAATTAAAAGTTTTCCTTGAAAAAAGTATATATTAAGCTTTAAATCTTATATCTGTTGTCAGAAAATATAAGGGCAAAAATGCTCACAACAAACTTCTGCAGAATAATATTCCATTAACAAGTGAAATATATACAGTGTGGTCATGCTTTAATTTACAAATGTTAATAAGCTTGACAAATGATTTGCCATAGAAAAATAAAGATTGAGAAGTTGAAGAATGACATAATTGTGAAAACGATGTATAGTTTACTGAATAAAGGTTCACGCAACAATACAACAACAATAACAATAAGCCTTAATCTTAATTAATTGGGGTCGGCTATATGGATTTCATTTTTTCACACAACTCCAACAATAGAAAAAAAAAAGAAAAAAAAAAAAGACTAATTTGCAATGGATCTCAGGGCACTTAACAACAAAGAGTGACGTCTACAGCTTCGGAGTAGTCCTGCTAGAGCTCTTAACAGGAAGAAGGGCAATGGATAAATCGAGACCGAAAACCGAACAATACCTCGTCGATTGGGCAAAACCATACTTAACGAGTAGCCGAAGGCTGCGCTACATTATGGACCCAAGACTTGCAGGGCAGTACTCTGAGAAGGGGGCAAAGCAAATGGCCCTTCTGGCATTACAATGCATAAGTTTGAAACCCAAAGACAGGCCTAAGATGCCAACCATTATTGAAACTCTTGAAAGCCTTCAGAATTTCAAGGACATGGCAGTCACTTGTGGGCAATGGCCGGTATCAACAAAGTCAACGAGGAATGGGGCTTCTGCTAAAGTCAAATTGGAGGTTAGAGGTGGGAATTTCAGGAAATCTTCTCCAATCTTTACTCCAAGCAATAAAACATGAAAGCCAATTTTAAGTGTAAAATAGTAGTGTATCATGTATTTCGAGGTAACAAGTTTGATAGATGACGAGCAATGCATGTTGGGTTGACAATGTACATTGGTCATCATTAATGGTGTATATATATGCATATATATGTGTGTGATCTCTTTTTTTTTTTTTTGTAAAATAAAATGTAAATGCAACATTGAGGGCTTGAGGTGGCCTCTAATAAAGTATTACTCAATTTTGTATCGCTTGTACTGTTGCATCAAGTTCTGGATCATGTTGACATACACCCCATCATGGTCCCTTAAATGATTTGGTTGAAGAATTAGACTTTATAAAGAATTAGACTTTATAAAGAATTTGACTTTTATCTTAAAAGACAATCTCTTTACATATATGTAGTAATGTGGGACTCGGGTATTTATATCTTTAATAATAATTTGGAGATTTTATTGAAAAGATAATAACAATTGTAGTCTTGCTAAGATCTTAAAAGCAGTTACGTGTCACAATAAGAAGCAGTTAGGACTAGGACCGGCAATATAGGTCACAACACGACGACACGACTCGAAAACAACACGAATTTTGCGAGTTAGGGTTAAGAAAAAAGAGGTTCGGGTCATAATTGGATCGACTTGAAATTGACACAAAAAACACGGGTCAATTTCAGGTTGGACCCGCCTAACCCGAACACGACACGAAACTCGTAAAAAACTAAAAAATACATATATTTTTCATTTCATATTTTAAATTTTATTATGAACTTGTGATATCATGATAGTTGTACTCAAAATCTTATATTATTATTTGCTTAATTTCAATGGATGTTATTGTAATTTAGTGTGTTATGAATTTTAAGTTATTTTTAATATGTAAAAAACTAAATAAAAGTATACAATTTTCGTGTCAATTTCGGGTTCACGGGTCATTTTGGGTCGTATCGTGTTAATTCGTAAAGTGGTCGTGTCGTGTTTGTGTTGTGATTTTTAAAATTTTTTGTGTCACAGATCGTGTTCGGATTGACTGTAAATTTAAAAAGAAATGATTAAAATACGACACAAACACGATACGTACACGAATTGCCACCCCTAGTTAGGACATCACATCCATGGACTAATCCGTCATTTACTTCTCTACCGTTGTCGTCCTCTCTGGACATAGTTGGATTTTCGCGGCTGGAAGACAGCTAAATTAAGCCTTCGAAATGACCAATTTAACCCTGGAGAGCTATATATTTCTCTTGGCAACGAGTTCCTTTCCCTCCCTCCCTCCCTCCCATCTCCTCTTCTCTGGATCTCTGAAACACCGAAAGCGAAAGGAGTTGGACTTCGAGTTCTGATAGCAACGACAATGGCGGCCTTTATCAGGCTCGACGATTCCCCAATGTTTCAGAATCAGGTAACAATCCTAGCCAATTCGAATCAGTCTCGATCGGATTTCGTGGTCGTTTTCTTTTTCGGAATTTCCCAATTTTCTCGTTTTCTCGTGGTTATTTCGAAGTCCGAACTCTCTTCTTCGAGCTTCACTAGATGGATTTTGCTTTATTGCATTCGTATGATTTTCGAATGAAATGAAAAATGTCGGATGAAAATTGGAATCCTTGTTGAATTTTAGCCATTGTTGAGCTCAATTGGCCGAGAAATCAATCTGATTTGCTGTTTCTTTAGCCTTTATTGTGAAGTTTATATTGTTTCTCCGAAAGGAGTTCGTTTATGGCAGATTTGCGCATCCTAAAGCAGATTTAATAAGGAATATAGTTTACGAAGCATTGTGAGATTGGTTTTTCTAGTGTTCTCAATTGGTCCTTTTTTTGACAGATATGTTCTCTAGAGCTGACAGCTGATGAATTGAAAGATCGCTGCCAAAGCTTGTACAAGGGGTGTAAAAATTTTATGTAAGTCATTTGCAATTATTCATCGTTTATTTTCAGGATTTGCAGATTGCAACGGAAAAAATAGATTTCGTTTTACCTTTCTGCTATAACTTTTCGAAAATGCTGTAAAATGTAAGGTTCCTTCTTCTGTAGCATATACTTATATATCGGTTTGTGAGACAACTTTGCATTGGCAGCTGAGTTGTGTAGTTGCTACTTCCGTAGATTTTATTGGTGGTTGGTGTTATGGGAATGCTAAAATTTTTAAAGCATTATTATTTTTAATGAAATTAATTTTTTTTTCAATGATTTTAACTGAGGCTATTTTTCCTTCCCTAATAAATATACGGAGTATAATTTCTTCAACATGTTCCATTTTTTTCCCTAACTTATCTGAATGAATACAACTTTACTTTTTGATGTTTTTCCTTTTTAGTTTTGTGCACCATGCCAGTGCTTGTTTTGCGATCTTTTAATATGTTTCTTACTTGTCAAAATTAATTAATTAGAACTCAGAGATAGAGAATGTGGCAACCATAAAGTTTTTTTTTTTTTTTTTTAAAAGAGATTTATACTTGCTTTGTCTCATTGTAATTTTGTTTCCTCTTGCATTTTAAGTTCCAAATCATGCAGATCTAAGTGTAAAGTTCTTGTTTTTGCTTTTTTCACAGGACAGCTCTCGGGGAAGCATGCAATGGAGACACTATTTTTGCTGATTCTCTCGAAGCATTTGGTGGTGGAACAGATGATCCCGTCAGCGTATCTGTAGGAGGTTGTTTAAAATCTTCTTTCTAATCTATAGTAGTTTTCTCTTAGGAATATTGCATACTTTCAAAAACTGTTGCTTGTGAAAAAATTTTGTTTCGTAATTTTCATCATCCAATATCGATCTTATGTGATTTCTTTGTTCCAGGTCCTGTAATGTCCAAATTCATTTCTGCATTTCATGAGCTTGCTACTTACAAAGAGCTTCTTCGTTCTCAAGTAAGTGCTCAAAATTCCAAGTAATGAAATGCTTTTCCTGAACTTTTTCGCTAGAAGATAAAAAGGATCGCTTTCGGTTCATGTTGTCCAATGGAACCAAACCGTCATTTATTTCCCAAGGGAAACATTGCTCATATAACAGTTAAAAGGGTCGTGTTGGTGCAAGTCTGAAATTCAGGATATTTACTATGCCATTTTTTATTTTGATTTTTTTTAGTTAGAGTAATGAACTGGCCATCCTATCTTGTTTCTCATCAAAAAGAAGAGAAACTAGGTATTGTTACAACAAGAAACCAAGTGGAAGTCTAACCTGTTTTATTGTTCTTTTATATTTCTCTTGGGAAGCACACTTTGGCCCAAATACATGCACGTGAAGGATATGCACTCTTGGAGAAAACGAGCTTCTCGTTGTCTCAGAGTGGTGTACCTTTTGAGTTTGGAACTTTGCGAACACTATATTACTTACATGCATTGGATTGTTGCGTATTACTTTCTCCTTTTTTTTCTTGCTTCTTTAAAAATGAGATAAGTTTGGTTGTGACTGAATGATTCTATCTACAGGTTACTGTCTTTCATATAGTGATGATTATTCTAGTAACATATAGTCCTTAGTACTTCAAAGAAAGGGCAATCACCAGATCATAGCTCAATGGCTGAAGTAATTGCACATAAATGCCCTATATCGTAGTTCTTGTTGTTGATGTTTATTGAGCAATAGTTATGCTTTTTTCGTGAAAGCTTGTCTAAGCTATATAACTGTTTAATGATGTTTTTTTATTATTATTTTATTGGTGTGTTTTGGAGAACATGGCTATGAAGACTTAAGCCTTCAGTCCACACAAATCGTTTTTGTTAGATGTTTCAAAGAAATTTAACATTTTACATGGACAACATTTTGCATTATAAAAGATGGTTTAAAGTTTTTTCTTTCCTTTTTTTAATAGTAAAACCTCCTTTTATTGATAACTAAATCAAAGACAAAAGAAAGAGTATAAGGTATCCTCCTAAGGCAGAAACATAAAAACAAAAGAAAAAGGAAAAAGAAAAGAGAGAGAGAGAGAGAGAGAACATGGCTATGAAGACTTAAGCCTTCAGTCCACACAAATCGTTTTTGTTAGATGTTTCAAAGAAATTTAACATTTTACATGGACAACATTTTGCATTATAAAAGATGGTTTAAAGTTTTTTCTTTCCTTTTTTTAATAGTAAAACCTCCTTTTATTGATAACTAAATCAAAGACAAAAGAAAGAGTATAAGGTATCCTCCTAAGGCAGAAACATAAAAACAAAAGAAAAAGGAAAAAGAAAAGAGAGAGAGAGAGAGAGAGAACATGGCTATGAAGACTTAAGCCTTCAGTCCACACAAATCGTTTTTGTTAGATGTTTCAAAGAAATTTAACATTTTACATGGACAACATTTTGCATTATAAAAGATGGTTTAAAGTTTTTTCTTTCCTTTTTTTAATAGAAAAACCTCCTTTTATTGATAACTAAATCAAAGACAAAAGAAAGAGTATAAGGTATCCTCCTAAGGCAGAAACATAAAAACAAAAGAAAAAGGAAAAAGAAAAGAGAGAGAGAGAGAGAGAGAGGACATGAAAATTAGCACCCCATAAAGTGTTGTTTTTATGTGTGCTTTCTCTGAAATCTTTAATTTAGTGCTGAATTTTGGAAGTTTATTTTTTACAGGTAGAGCATGTCTTGATTGATCGGCTGATGCATTTTATGACAGTTGATCTGCAAGAAGCGAAGGTAATGCTCTCTTAGGTTGTGGTTATTTCCTGCATGAAATAACTATTATAAAACAAAGACCCTATATCCCCTAAAAGAAAACTCAGAGAGAGAGAGAGAGAGAGAGAGAGAGAGAGAGAAGAAAAAGAAAAAAAAATAAAATTTAACAACAGTTTGTTTTATCTTTTGGGAGTTTTGATTTTCCTTTCTTTTATAACAACAGTCGATGCCTTAACCTTTTTGACTCTCAGTTTGTCATATGTGTTTGATGTTTCTCGATCCTTTTGACGCTTTATGCTGAAAGGGGTCCCACTTTTCTTCAGTATCATTTCTTGGAACGATATATAGTTTGTTTCCTGAATTTCTCCACTCAATTTTGTAGGATTCTCGAAGACGTTTTGACAAAGCTATACATGCCTATGACCAGGTATTTGAAATATGATTCCAATTGAAATTCCTACTTGTGTGTTTCTTGGTGGAGTGGAATCAGTTATGTATAGGGAAGTAAATGTCGAAAATCATGATGTTTTACGTGCTGTAGATAACAAGTTATATAGGCTTTTAATTCTTCAGTGTCCCTCACATTATTCAGAATGCCAACAATGCTAACAGAAATATTGATGAATCTTGTTTGCTATTTTAAGGTCACAAGTTAACCCAAATAAGCTGTTTTGGTTGTGAGAAAGGAAAGAGGGAAAAAAAAAAATCTTGATGAAGCATGAAATGTACTTTCAACTAAGAAAAAGTTTTATATGGTCAATGAATGTGGAGTCTTGGAGATACCATTAAGTGGGGTAATTTGAGGAACCAAAAAAAAAAAAAAAAGAAAAAGAAAAAAGGTTTAGGAGCTACCTCCTTTATGTTAATGACCTTGACATTTATTGTTAAGACTATTTCGGAGCGTAAGTGACACAATAGCTGGGATACGAGGAAAAGTTTAGTCTAAACTTCCAGGATGCCGCTAGTTTGTAATTTTTTTGATGGACATGGAAGGGATGGGGCTTTTAATATTCTTGTCTTCAAGAATTCTATGCTAGGTTTCATGTTGTACTTTATGAACTTTGTGTCAGGGGGATGTACGATTCTACTTGATGTCCCTTGTGCAACTTGGTTGCTTTCAAGTGGGGTTGTGAATGACGTAATTCGTTGTTTGTCTGTAGGCACGAGAAAGGTTTGTATCATTGAAGAAAAACACCCGAGAAGACATTGTTGCAGAACTACAGGAGGTATTTTTAAACCTTCTTCCTAATAATCATTTGCTTTTAATTCTTTTATGACAACAAACCTAAGGCACCCTAAGCCTGTGGCAGTGTGGCCATGCCCCTAAATCGTAAGAATTTGCATAATTGTCAGACTAATCCAATTGTTGACATGAAACTGTGGTTATCATATTTTGTAGTATTACCAACCTATGCTGTTGCAGGCATATTCAGGTTTCTTTAAGCATAGTTGACCTTTATGTAAATATGTTACTTTTAAGATGGATATGGCATAATAAATTATTAGGAGACAATTTGATGGTGCGATAATTTTTCTTCAATTTTGACTTTCTTTTTTTTTTTCAATCAATAACATACTATAAACATACTATATTAATTACCTTGTCAAATTAGTTGCAATATTCTTCTTTAGACCACATTTTGCTTTGCTGTGTCTTGTGAATGAAAAAGGAGAAAGGCGTTATAGAAGGGAAAAACATTCTTTTGTAAGGTTCACAACATACATAGACAGCTCTCTACAAGAAAAGGAAAGAATTCATTGGGGACTGCCGAAAATTAAATAAGGCCATCACCAGAGAATTAGATAAGGATCATAGTTTTCAATTCCAAAAATCTTACAAAAAAAGAAAAGAAAATGCATCCTAGAAATTAACCAGATGAAGTAATGTAATAACACATCGGTGTCTCATTTGCCATCGTTTATTCATTTTACCTTTTTATTGTTCTGTTAAATACAATGATTTAGTTTTTGAGAACTTGAGATAGTCCTTATTGAAGTTGCATCTTTTCTCTATTATAATGTATATATAAGTGAATTAAATAGTCAGCATTGCACTCACTTATATATCATATCAAAAGAACAAGTATGCTTTCCCTGGATAATTTTTGTAATTCATATCTTTATTATAAGATTCAGGACCTCACCATCTCTTCTGTATGACAGGATCTAGAAAATTCAAAATCAGCATTTGAGAAAAGCCGCTTCAATCTAGTATGTCTTCTAAGTTTGTGGATGTTATTCTTCCATAACCTTTCTGCTTGTAATAAACGTGTTTCTGTAATTTTAAGGACTGCAGGTAAACGCACTAATGAATATTGAAGCAAAGAAAAAGTACGAGTTCTTGGAGTCTGTTAGTGCAATTATGGACGCTCATCTAAGATACTTTAAGCTGGTTCGTTGGTGCATTTTAGCTGTCACCTTCTTAGATTTGAATGTATTTGTCCTTCCCAAAATAAACAGGATTGACTTCTTTCTGCTTTCTTTAGGGTTACGAGTTATTGAAGCAACTGGAACCATATATTCACCAGGTATGATTGTAGATTTCTTCTTCGACCAAACAAAGAAAAAATTGTTCCCTTAATCATGCAAGTGGTTGGTATGGGTAGTTATGGGAGAAAAGCGTATTGATTAGAGAGAGAGAGAGAGAGAGAAGAGCAACGATGTCATGAATCTCCTATCATTAAAAAAAAAAGTAATGAACCTTTTTCACCCTTCTTGGGGATTGCCCCCAACCTGAATACCTGCAGGCCCCCGACCCTAATGGGCATGATAAACCCGATCTCTTTAGGGTATGGATTTAGGGGTCCCCATCCTGAACCCACCACGTTGAATTTTTATTTTTTATTTTTAAATATTTACAGTATACTTGGTGAATTAATATGCTGTAATATGTATCTTTTTTAATGTTTATACTTAGGTCTTAGTTGTCTGTTGTCAAATTTTGTTGTTATTATTATTTAAGATAGTTTTATAATAAAGGGTAAACTGCTTACCCCGCCCATGATGAGCAGAGTTTTTCCCAGAGAGTGGGGAAGGGGTCCAAGTACTGTTTAAGTGTTTTTATTTTTTTATTTTTAATAATTACAATATACTTATTAAATTAATATGTTAAAACTTGATCTTTATGACTAAAAATCGTGAGTCATTTCTATTTGAACAAGTAAATATTGAGGGTATGTAAATTATTCATTGACCTTTGCCTGGCCTGTTACCCTGCGTCAACAGGTACTGAATACATAATCTTTTACCATCAGTCTGAATATTTATCAGTCTGGAAAGGAACATCCAAGAGTTAAAAGTTTTCTTGCAATCTAATGGTTTATGTTTCATTTGTTACGTACTTAATGTAATTGTTTCCTGTCATTGACTGATTGACTCTTACCCTGTTCTGAGGAAGAACTTTCCTTTTTTATGTCAGCTTATAAATTTTGTTACATGCTATTCGAACTTGTTCCAGCTGATAGGAGTTCAACTTTTCCTGACACCAGGTATTAACATATGCACAACAATCTAAAGAACAGGCAAAAGTTGAACAAGATAGACTTGCCAAAAGGATTCAAGAATTCAGGACACAAGCTGAGATGGATGCTTTACGAGCTTCCAGTAATATAGACCCTTCTGCGGGTGTCAATGTCATTCGTGTTTTTGGTATGAATTCTCATAAAAGTGTAGAAGCAATCATGCAATCCAGAGCAAATGGGGAGGTAATTTCATTCAGTTTAAGAAGTTGTTGTCGCAGTATAATACTAGCTCATGTTTAATGTCATTCATCTTCCTTCTTCTTTTTTTTTTTTTTTTTTAACTCTATCTATTCAACTATCAAATTATCCACCTCCTCTTTCCTTTGTAATTGATTTTCTTATCAAATGAAAGGAATTTTTTTATCAAAAAAAGAAAACAAATTTACATTTTCTATTATTGAATTCTAAGAGCCTTCTGTATTATTGGACTCCAATTGTCCAAATCAAAATACTAGGCCAGCTCACAATCATTGGGTTGGACAGGAAGATCATTATGCCTTCTTTTTTTTTCCAATTTACTTAAGGTCCAGACAATCAAGCAAGGATATCTATTGAAGCGATCTTCTAGTTTGAGGGGAGATTGGAAGAGGAGATTTTTTCTACTCAACAGTCAAGGATCTTTATATTATTACAGAGTTAAGGGTACGAAACCCATGGTATGTTATGCTACAAAACTTTGCTGTCAGCTTCGAGGAATGAATCTTTTCTTGCTTCCAGTAGACTCTTATGTTATTTCACAACAAAACTCTTCTGCCGGCCTTAGTTTTCTCCATTTGTTTCCTGTTTTTGCTTTTTCTAGCATTCTGTCCTTAGTGGATTTCTCATCTTCTCTCCTATGTACTTGTTTTTCCATCAAGGAAAGGAAATTTTCTGATATATACATATAAAAAAAGTAATTACTCTATTGAGGCTAGCAAAAGTTTATTGGATATTCTTGCCACTTTAGTCGATAGCAGACAACTAAGCTGACCCACTTTATCTGATCAGATATTAGTATGTAATTTCTTAGTTTTTGGTTCATTGCACGAACTTTTCTTGCTTGTGTCTTTCCAGGCCTCCATTGTCATTTTCCAAGTTAGATAACTGACTGTTGTTGCTATTAATGCAGTTGTAAATTCTAACTGTGATGCGTTTACAAGCATTAATGATTTCTCATAATCAATTGTCAAAGATGCCAAAAATTTGACATTTACTTACTAAAATAACTGGTAAATCTTATAAAATAATCCGGCCTTTTTCAGACATTCATGTTTGCTTCTATTATTTGAGGACTTGTTTTCCTCCTGTGTTTTTCTTACTATTTGGTTTCTTCTAAGTAAAATGTCAAAGATGCCAATTGCCATGTACATCACAAATTTCTCTCTTTCTTAGCCGTTCTAGTACTACCAGCAAATATGTTAGAAACAATTATATGTTCTAACATATTTTCTCATGCTTCACACGGGGAACTGATTAAAAACTTATGACATCTTAAATTCTTATTTGCATATGAATTCTTACTCATGCATACTGTTTTCCAAGTTTGTTTGACTGAGCTAACTATTTAAAATGTAGAACAGTTATTGCTTGCTTTGTCATAACAGAATTCTTGGTTTTTCTTTGATCTTTAATGTCATAGGGTTCTCATCCTCAGCATTTTACTCGTCCAGCTGAACAGAACAGTGGCATGTTTGGTAGATTTCGTTCAAAGCACAATAGAGGTGCATCACTCAATGAAGACATTCTGAGCTGTCGTACTGTTGATCTGCGTACCTCATTAATAAAGATGGATGCTGAGGATTCAGATCTACGGCTTTGCTTTAGAATAATATCTCCATTGAAAACTTATACATTACAGGTAATTAATTGGTTAATTATTACGTAGTGCTTTCTGTTTTTAGCTAACTAATTGCATGCATGACTAACTTAAGAAAGTCAGTGGACATGCAGTCAACCATGTACCAATATTGCATAGCACTAAGCAACCAGTCATTTTTTATTGGCTTCATTTGCTATCATTTCACAGGGGCTACAAATAGCACAGTTAAGGAAACAAAATGGGCGTGGCATAGGGCCAACTTGTGAAGAAGAATGGATTTGATAACCATTCTCTTTTCCTTCTGTTCTTTACTTTCCTTTTGAAAATCGACAGTTTAAAGGAACCACTTGAAATTAGGAGAGTGATTATCGGATTTGGGGGATTGGGATTCTGATGGGGAGAGGTCGGAGTTCCATTGCCATATGTTTTAGTTGCACATTAACCCAGAGGAGACACTCTAATGGGATGCGTATTGCTATTCAAATCTCTAGATATTTCAGTTTTCTCTGTTCTAATTCATTTTATTCCCACTGTGGATTCAAGCATGAGATGACTTTTGGAAAGAGGATAAAAATTCACTTTAAGATTTTTGCCATTCAATATTGTAATTGATTAGACTAGTTTGTTTGTTTCAGCACTCATTGCCGTGTATTTGTCTTTATTTTTACAATTTGCTTTATTGAAGATGTATACTCTGTTTTTGTTGCTATACCTAAAATTCTGCATTATATTTTCTTCTTGTGAATATCTACAAGTTGGAGGTCTAGATCACTAGCAAAAATTGATTTTAAACAACATAATTTTAATTAATAATCAAAATTTCTTGATTTTTAAGCTACTAATGAGTGGAAGAACAACCAATTTTATTGCACACTTCTTGTTAGTTCACATGCGCGCAGGCTCAGACTGGCAGCATTTTTTATTCTAAATATAATTATTGTGAACAAACTTGTGACTGCCAACCTGTTTTTCTTCTTGTTTGGTCAGGCTGAAAACGAGGCAGATAGAATGGACTGGATAAACAAAATAACAGGAGCTATTACATCGCTTCTGAATTCTCAATTTTTTGACCAGGTGTACCTCTGAAAAGCTCTGTACCTTTTCTGAATAACTTATTATCAACATATGATGCAAGCAGTAAATATCAACTAACAAAGATCAGTGCATCTTCTCCAGCCGAGCCATATAACAACAAATCCTGAAACTAATAAATCGACTGGCGGTGCTTCTCATGGTGTTCAAACACGCAATAGCCATCAAGATTTAGGAGACGACATAAAATCAAACAAAATTGAGTGTGTATCTAGTATTCTCAGAGGTGTCCCAGGAAATGATCTTTGTGCAGAGTGCAGTGCTCCTGAGCCCGACTGGGCTTCTCTCAATCTTGGTATATTGCTGTGCATTGAATGCTCTGGTGTTCACCGGAATCTTGGTGTTCATATTTCAAAGGTGCGGAAAGATATTTACTGTTTCACTAGCAAAGAAGATAAATTAAAGAAATTAAAGAAATGCAGTATCAGTGGTGTTAAAAACCCATATGACTGATACAAGAAATGAACTGCTAGAACATAAAATATCTATCCATAGGCCCTAACATAACTACAGAAGATATTATTTTATTGAATATTTCAAGGCTAAACCTGTGCATCATGCCAATGAAGGCTGAAGCATCTCTTCTCATGTCATTGTAGTCTTCACTAATATCATTTTGGTGTTAGTTCTTTCATCAACTATGCATCTCCAATGCAGTGCCAAATTTTGGTATTTTGGCAGGAAAACCACTTTCAAATGTGATGGTATTTTTAGCGCTAAATTTGGCATTGGTGCCAAATTTGACACCAAGTATACCATATGCCAAACTTTGACATTTGGTTGTTAGCGGTTGCTGTGTTGACATTTTCATTTAATAATTACATCTTTTTCATTTTCAATTTACTTAAAGATTCAAAAGTTTACTTTTACAAATATAGAAGCTAGCATTTATGCATTGGAGCACAAAGTAGAACAACATATCAAATATGGTAATTCACACTTTTTTTTGGTGCCAAATGTAATATTGAAAATTTGCATTGGAGATGGTCTACGGGTATAACATATTCTAGAATGTTCATTTTCAATTAGCACTTTAATACATAGTCTTGAGCTGTTATAGATCTTATGCTATCACTAGTTAGGTATAGTTTAGCATTTAAGATTTTTAGTTGAATTGGTAAGGGCTTGGATTTTTCATGTGTCACAGTTAAGGAACACTTTGTCCAACCAACTGCAGGTGAGATCTCTAAGACTAGATGTCAAGGTTTGGGAACCTACGATTCTGGATTTATTTCGCAACTTGGGTAATGCTTATTGTAACTCTATATGGGAAGGGTTGCTGCTGCTTGAGGATGTACGGTAAGTACTTGGAAGACAAGCCATGTATCTTATCATAAAGTATGGTTATTGCATTTCTGGATAATAATCATGAATGGTCTGATCGTTGGCATTTAACTTATATTTTCTTATGTTCTTTATTTCAAGAATACCCTTTGCAAGGATTTGGTTCTACAGTGTGATTAGCAATGTGTGAACTTTTATGGGGCTCAACTTCTTATTTTGATTCCTGAGAACTGATGTTTTATTATTATTATTATTATTATTATTATTATTATTATTATTATTAGTTGTTGTTGTTGTTGTTGTTGTTGTTGTTGTGTTAGAACCTATCACTAAAATACCCCTAGAGAGGGATAGGGCTAAGCTATTATTATTGTTATTGTTCACTAACTTTATGTTATGTTACTATTACATAATTCTAATTAAGAATGTTAAGAAGTTTCTTTCCTGGTTATTTAAAGACATCTGATACTGTTGATGCATCTTATGGGATATTTTAAGGGTTTGGTACAAATGTTCCGTTGAAAACATTAGTTTTTATCATTTATTATTTGTAAATCCAGCTGAATGTAAAATCTGACGCAGAGCGGATGACTCAAATGCTCTTATTGCTTCTACTTCAAAACCATGCCCCAAAGATGCCATTCACTTGAAGGAAAAATATATTCAAGCAAAGGTAACTGATAAATTCATTCGTTCAGTAATATTGTAAGAAAATGAATACAGTTCATCCAGGGAAAATAATTAACAAAATTTCAGTCTGCTTCTGGTAGAAAATATTTGTAGCATCTTAGCACTTGCCATATGTTTATATATTTCAAAAATTAAATCTGATAAGAAATATTTGTTAGCAAAGCATGGTAAGCTACTAAAAAAGAAGGAGAAAAAAGAAAGAAAGAAAAGAAACACACACTGTTGAAAAACGTGTTATTTCCTACTGTTTAGGAAATTCTATTTTCGGAAATATATGTAATCTCTGTATGGTAGATTAGTTGTTGATTTGTAGCTAGCTGTAAATTAGGAGCTAGTTTCCTATTTTTTCTCTAACTGATTGTAACCTAATTGTATATAAAAGAGGCTTATTACCTCTGATTATAATGTGAGACTGACGGCTAGGTATTCTTAATTGACCTACCGATTTCCACATGGTATCAGAGCCAAACATCTGATCACCGGAAAAATCAAACAGCCACCATGTCTGGCACATCCAGTGTAGGTGATAAGTCTCTCGATTCTGGATCGGCGAAATCATCTTCAAAACCTGTTCTCCTGTCAAACACTCATGACAATCTTTCTTCTCACCCAATTACCACTCACAAACTCAATGGAGAAAATTATCTCCAATGGTCCCAGTCAGTCATGTTATTCATCCGGGGTCGTGGAAAGACTGGGTTTCTGACGGGAGCGACACAGAAACCAAAAGAAGGTCTCGAATCCATTGAGACCTGGGAATCTGAGAATGCCTTGATCATGTCATGGCTAATCAATTCGATGGAGCCAACGATCAGCAAGACTTATATGTTCCTGGCCACTGCTCAAGAAATCTGGGAAGCTGCAAAGGAGACTTTTTCTGATCTGGGAAATTCTGCCCAGGTATATGAAATTACTGTTGGTATCCGAATCGAATTCGGATGCGGAAGCGTGGGGGAAGGCGGATCAAGTATAACAAAAATTTTCTCAAAACTTTTGAGATACTCTATAGATTATATTAATTTATGCACGAATAAATTAATCATATTAATTTATTTAATAAGAATTCAATTAGGGAAAATACCTAGCGCCGATTAGGTCGATAACTTGAATTCTTTGACCTCGAACAATCCTTGCTCCAAGCTGTGTTTAGAAAACCAAAGTCTTCTACGTCAATAAATTGATTCCACGTAGACGTGTGTGTGGGCACACGTGAGACAAAACAGGTTTCAATAACACTCGAATTTTCACAATCACCAACGCATGCATGATGTTGAATTTTTTGGAGAAAAAATTTTCCTCTCTTTTCCCAATGAGAAATTTCGGCCACACTCAATAATTAGGGCAGAAAATTATTTTCAAAAATTGTCTACACAATTTTCTATCATTCTCATATTTAAAGAGTAGAAGTCAAACTTAAAAAAGGAATCAAATTTCTATCTCCTATTTGAATTTTGGAACAAAAAATCTCTCCTACACCTTATCCCTTAAGTGGCCGGCCATGTAGGGTTTCTATCCCTTGTGTGTGGCGCCAATACTGGATAGGGAAGGAAGAGAAGATCATCATTTATCCTGTAGTCCAATTTTAATTCAAATTCAAATTCGAATTTAAGTCAAACTTAAATTAATTTGAATTATAAATTGAACAACTTATCAAATAAGTTTAAAAGAATAAATTTAAATTATGTTCACAATTCAAATTCAAATTTAAATAATCACATTATTTAAATAATAATTAATTATCAATTAATTATTTTCGAGTGTTTAATTTTAAAATTCCGTAATTCTAAAATTCCCATTTTGCCCTTTGTGTCTGGTAGAATTACAAGGACGACGCGGGGACTTATGGACCTATAATCCCGAGCTCCAATAAAATTAATAATTAATTAAACACTTTAATTAATTAATTAATTCTATTAATTCCAATAGTTACTCCACTATAAACT